TTCACATAGATTGAGTAAACGTCATAGTAATGCTTCTTAACAATGGATTCAACAAACAGGATGGAATTTTTAAAACAAATTTACTGAAAATTAAGATGATAATCATTTTTATTATCTTTAACAAATATGTGTTTAGGAAAAAGCCAAAAGTATATGCTCAAAAGATAAGTAACTAGATAATCTGAAATAGTATATCCGTTCTAATTGTTAGACGTTAAAATTAGAGCTTTAACAGAAAATAAAACAAAAAATAATCAATGAACATGCAGTGAGGATAATAATTATGGTGAAAATGTAAGAGATAAATAGACAACAGTATTAAGTAGTTAAGTTCATGGCAATCATATATTTAGAAACTGGATTCTACTTTGAGGAAATAACTGACTCTCTTGAGGCAGCCAAATGCCTCGTCATCTAATTGATGATGCGCATAAATGGAGCCTTCTGGGGGTTGTGGTGGCGGCTATCTCTTCATGGTCCTGCTAGGCAACGTGGCGTTGTTTGCAGCGCTGAGGCTAAAAGCCGTTCCGAACGCTTAGGGTACCGTGCCTAGCATGGTCCAAAATAATGGTAGGTGTTCATGGTTGTAAGGCCGTAGATGCGGTTTGCCACTCTGGGGGATTAGGACTGAACGCCTTTGAGTCTGAATCCCGTCCAATGAGCGTAGATAAAGTTGAAAAAATGTGATATAGCTTTCCAGGATACTTGAAGGCGGACCCAGACGATTTGTTTGGAGAAGCAGCCTTAAAGATCCTGCACTACTGACGCCGAACCTATGTGGTTGTGCCAAACACTCTGCATCTAGGTGCATTGTGTCAACTGGCGTCGAGGCACCTTAAACAAGGGTCCCCAGTTGGGTTATGTGATCCAGTGCTGGATGCCAATGATGTCTGCCCACTTATGTAGTGGAATTAACCCTGCTTAGCTGAATGCTTGCACTTTGTCGAGTCCATGACTTCTACCCCATGGGGGTGTATTTTCCGACAGACCTTGAGAGACAAACCTGATCTTTAGCTGCATGTAGGATTTGAGGGCTCCGATCGATTGTATCAGCGCAAGGCGGTTGGAGCCCAGACGGTCGGAACAGCTGCTTGGCGGCTCGATAATCCATTCGGAGTACCAGGTCTAGCTGAGGAAACTCGCCTTGCCGCCCTTGCCGATTGGGGATTGTGTGTAGTGGATTGGTTAGAGGGATCTTGTTGATTCTTAAGTGCCCGAACGGGGGCGTCCAATTGTCTGAAAACCAATCTAGACAACATGTGTGTTCCCGTATGGTGCAGGGGTAATCGCAATATTGGCCCTTGTGAGAATCCCTGTGTTGCCTAAAATGCGGCCGTGTGCATTTGAAGCAGGCTTACTGGTTAACCAAGACTATAACTTTACGCTCGCTACCCTCAATAGAACATAGGCCAGCGACAAGCGTTCTCCAACCTACTCTATCCTTTCTTACCAGTTCTATCCACCTCCTGTTCATCCGCTGAATGTCTACTTCCGACTCTCGGCGTAATATGTTATTTGACTTCTTTTGTCCCGTGGCCGTGAGGATTCTAATTGAGTGGTTGTTTGTGGCACAACCGGGTGCTTTTCGCAATATGTGTCCTATCCACTTCCAGCTCTTAGTGTACAGTATATTTTGTTACAAGACAATCTCAACTATATGAACGTTACAGATGCTTACGTCTGATTTATTTTAGTAAATATAACAATTATGACAAAAGATCTATCTATCTAAATAAATTTTTAAATTTTAGGCAGATTTCTCTAAATTCTACTGAAAAATCATGTTCTATATAGGGCCATCCATGCTGTTAATATGATAGTAAGCAATTCATTGACACCATAGGATCAGGATTGTTTTTGTGATGTAAATTAATGGGTAATTGAGTGTATGAAGTATTAAACTTATACTGAATGGATGGAATATGTTATATTGTCAATAAGAACTAAAAGTGAAAGGTCAACTAATGATCTACTCAGAAGTCAACTGAATAAAATAGTCGCTAGCGATCAAAAAGTTAGATTGATGACAATGAAATCTGTATCCACAACCAATCAGAAACAAGGATATTTGATACTTAAAAAATAATCAGAGATGAAAACTCTTTAAATTAGATGCTGATAATAATGTCCGAAATAATAACATAGATTTCTCAATCAAGAAATCTAGCTCAAAGAGAATAATGCCATCAAAAGGTTTGAATGTTTTGTTTTCAATCATGTGTTGATATGCACTAATATATAGTTCTAAAGAAACTGAAACAACTGTTTAGCACTCTCATCTTTCAATGTTTCAATAGTTGAGATCAACATCAATTTATTCAAGAGGATTGGTTGTAAACTTCCTTTTTCTTAATTAAGCTGTGCAGTCTGTTCATAGATAAAACTACGATTTATGATAGTACTAACAGCCTTATTCAATGTCAGAAGTATATGTCAGAAAAGTATAGCCCTGTAACGTGTATTCGAAATAACTAATTTCTTTATAAGTGATTTTACCAGTTTCCATTATTTATACTCAATCACTAAAGTTTTCTTCCACTTTAGCTGCTAAAATTACTTTTCCAGTCGTTATACATTAGATTTTTGAAATCTTCAAAGGATACACTATGTAGGGAAACATGCCAACAACTTTTGTATTTCTGTTTGTGTTTGTCAGTATTTTGCATCGTTATTATTTGTAGCCCATTTATTATGATGATGTGTGAGGATATTCGTGATATTGACTAGCCATTATCTATAGCTGGTTATGTACATCAAAAGAATAGTTTTACCAAACTGATCTTCGTAATTTAAACTTTTATTTACGTACAAAATAGATTAGAAAATTCCAATGATGTTTACATACCTTACGAAAATGTTATCATGGAATATAGTCAGAATTATCTGTTATATGAAAGTACAGTACCATGATCAGTATGCAAACTTTCGTTGACTGTACTAACCAAGTTTTTTCTTAGGCATGTCAATTCATCAGTGGAACAAGGCACATAGATCAGAATAAGAATAGATTGGAAATACATCTCTTACTCTATTTATATAAAATGTGGCATCTGAAGAGGATGAACGTAGTAACACTTAATACTCCATTCTTGATTGTTAGCTGAGACATTACAGCGCTTTTTTGGTGAAACGTTTAAGGAAGATAGATATGTTGAAGTCTCAGTTGACAACCATTTGAAATAAAGATCCAATCATCATAATGATATTATATTGCATTCTTGGCTAGAACATATCTTCAAACACTCTATTTCATGTTCGAAACCGACTACTCTCCTGAATTCAGATGGTCACAATAATAAAATCACTTAAAGTACAGTTCAACTCAGTAAAACTTTAAAATGATAACTGATTTGATTTGAAGGTTAAATAGAAACCTGAAAGTGTTAACGACAAATTGCGTGAAAATATTAGTTATAGAAAGATAGATGTATAGCAAACTAAAAACCGATAAGAAGTCATTAAAATATTTTATATACGAAAGGCAATTGTTTGTTTGATCGGTTTGTGGAGCAGAATGATTAAATGTTGTTACAGTAGCTATTATTAAAAAATTATTTAACAGTAGAAAGGATGATTAAAGCCACTGTAAAAACTGAACATATGACATTACTTTTGTACACAGAACTTAACAGGAAATCAGCAGATTGGTAGTACCTCTGCCATTCATAAACTTCGAATCTGTTGTACTGTTAAACTAGTTTCTCTAACTAAAAGAAAAACTTTGCAGGAGTATTCAGAAGGAACAATATTCCCAGTGTTTACGAGATGTTCAAGAATAGAGTTGTTCATTGACTTTAGTAATCTTCTTGGTAACATTACTCGATAACGCTCCGAGATGCGCGCTTGAATTACGTGGCCAATTTAACTTACTTTGCAAGAACGAGGAAATTTATCGATTCACGCTGATTCTGATTTAAGAATTTATTAATGACACGAGCTTACAAAAAATATTTTCTTTCTATATTTAATTTTTAAGAGTTTTTGTGCTTTAGAATTCTAAAATAATTGTAGAAAGTAAAAATGAAATAACAAGTTTTGGCTTTATTTCTTATTTTCATTTACTCTTTGATTCTCAAACTAATTTCAACACCATTAACTTCTGTTCTAACTGACACTTAATAGATATTAATAGAATCTGTAAATATGTATTACTTCTAAGTCTTATTAGTAGTATAGTGAATTAAAATAGAACAGTTTGATTAGGAAATTAGGCTTGAAAAAGCATTATTCGCTAGGAAACCAGGATAAATAACTGAATAAGTATATAACTTATAAATTAGACCTTTGTGCGACTTTCTGTCTGTTTCAAAAAGTCATATCATGTATAAATACTACCCTACTTCTCATCTGTACTAAATAAATTATCTTAATGAAACCGTAATGTGATATAATATGTGACAGAGAACTGATGATACATGTATCACTAAATGTGATCTAATCTTTCTAGATAAAAATAGAATAGATTCTTAGCTTTAAAAAAGCTGTGAAATTTCATTCTTTGATTGAATAATTATTAGTATTCCAGATAAGTTTGAATTACGAATGAATATTTCCGATTCAACTAGTTTGATTTACAAGATCTATTACTATTGAAAGTGTCCAACTATTTCAACTAGGCGCTTAAATGAATGAGTGTTCAATGAAAATTTCGTAGAATTTCAATTTTTGTCTCGTTTGATGAATTAGTGTCGCTTGAAATTCATTCAAAAATCATGAATAATGCTTCCGATGATTGTTATATTTTACTAGTTTATACAACATATTGTTTTTCTTTGTAGCTATAAAGTATTATCATTGAAAATTGAATCGTGTGTGTTCAAGTTCAAATCAAATTAAATTGTTATTTATCTAGAACATAAAAGGTAGAAGTGAATATGTCTTACAAATTTATTAAAAAGTATTAAATATTATCATCTAAATTTCACATATAACTCAATTAATATTTTCTCTTTTTAAAAATCTTATCATCAATGCATTTTATTTAAAAAAACTTCTCTTAGAATGAAATGTTCGCGATGAATACAAATTCTTCATCAACCGATCAAGCGATCAATTATATGGATAAAAAATTATTCGATGAAGATGATCAATTTAGTGGAATGCTAATGCAATGGGGACAATTTTTAGATCATGATTTAGATTTTACACCTGTGGATGCATCCACTAGTCGATTTAGTGATGGTCTCGGTTGTAATGAAACATGCATTAATGATCCACCATGTTTTCCAATCTTAGTACCACCTGATGATCCACGTATTAAACATCGGTGTATTGGTTTTGCACGATCTAGTGCAACTTGTGGTTCTGGTTCAACATCGATTTTGTTAGGTAAACCAAGATATCGTGAACAATTAAATCAAATCACTGCTTTTATTGATGCATCCAATGTTTATGGTAGTGATGATTTTGAAAATAGTCAATTAAGAGAAACACTATTTGATGAAGGTAAAATGAGAGAAGGTATGCCAACGGAAATTGGTAAATCTTTATTACCTTTTAATATTCGAGGACAAGTAAGTGATGTTAGTTGTATTCTTGAAGTTTTAATTTCCCGCCCCCCATAAAACAATATATATCGGTTAATTATAACAAAGAATTAAACTATGAAGTATTTAGAAACAGTTACAGCAGATGACCTAGTTACATAACCAGTGATTAGTATATTGAATTCAGCGATCTCACTGACTTCATTTAAAAAATAATATAGAAATGATGAAGAAATTCATGAAATTCCCATTCTTCAAAAATATTTCAATGAAGTTTCAAAACGATCTCAATTAGACCGCCGTTGAAAAACGGGGAACACTGGACGGCCTTTTCGTTATAGTATGGGACTCCAGACCAATGCACAACCACGACCTCGTAAGTGAGAATCCGATCCAGGACCTTCGATCTCGCGCACGAACATTTAACCTGCAGACCATTGAGCACGCATTCATGAGTGTTCCAGGTTGTCGATGATGGTCTAACTAAGATACATTCAGGATTTCGATGAAATTCAATAATTTATAGAAACCTAGATATTGTTCATTGCGTCAATGTTGGAATTTTCATTAAAATTTCAGAACAAAAAATAATTTGGATAATTGAGGTTTAAACTTAAACACATCTATATAGACAATTCTTTTCGTTTACAGCAACTTATCTGAATAGTTGTTTTTATTTAAGACGAAACATAGATTTTAAATGCTACTTAAAGCAACGTCTTAACGAAGCTTGACTTATGCGTTAACTCATCTTTAGCAAGCGGAAGTGACAGGCCTATGTGGTTTATTTTAACCACTGGACAGTCGAATTATTCTAATCTTGCTAGTCATTTATTTACGTGACCTTCAGAGTGTACGTATCTATTATGTCTACATACTCACTTGTATTCCTCTCACACTTTTAAATGTTGAGTTGGACGTTTTTGGAAGTCTGGTTCACATTCATTTCTTGTATTTCGTCTCAATTTTCAAATGTTTGAAACATAAATTTCAAATTTGACTTTTTATATCTACAACATTATCATTAACAACATTTGTCAACAAACGTATTCGAAGTTAATCAGAATATATTATTCGGTCAGTCAGTCACTTACAACGTAGAACTTCGTACGTAAGTACATCAGTTCAGGCTGCCATACCGCATTAGCACAGAGACACAATTGTCAGTTCAAGCACCATAGTGGTAGAGATAGTAGGAGTACTAGCAGTAATGGAGAAGATTAGAGAGAGGATATCTTCTACTCTCACTGGCCATGTTCCACATCCATATAGTAGAACGGAGCGAACTGCTGCGCAGTACACTCGTCTTTTGGTTAGCGAACGGATATCATCTCTCCCAAGCCATAAATGACGCAAATATGCAAAGGCTAATCGAGCTATCTGTATCCGAGCTGAGATTTCGTCAGTCACAAGACCGTCAGCACTGATGAGACTCCCCAGATAAGTGAAGCAGCTCAACTACTTCACTCCCTATCACTAGTTCAGGTGCCGATGCAACCCAGTCTTGAAGCAACATTTTGCATTTCGAGGGGGAAAACCGCATCCCGAACATGCTTGCATTGTTGCTTAGGGTAGTCAGAAGACTCTGCATTTTGTCAGCGTCTTCACAGAATAGAACTGTCATCAACATACTCTAAGTCAGAAAGCGTGTCTCCTGGCAGAAGGTCCACTCCCAAACCGTCTGACGAAGATAATGTTTACTCTGAAAGCATACCTGCGACAAAGTTAAACAAGAATGGAGGGAGTGAACAGACTTGATGGACACCACTTGAATTAATCGTTTCTGATGACAGTTCGCCATAAGCTCTCACTCGACCTGTAGTGTTCGAGTAGAGAGCCTGTATAAGGTTAATGTACTTCTTTGGTACACCTTTCAATGACAGACACTGCCACAGAACCTCACGATCCACTGAGTCGAATGCTACCTTAAGGTTAAGTAAGATAACTATTGTCGGACGTCTAAATGTGTGTCTGTGTTCCAGGACCTGTCGTAGTGTGAAAATGTGGTCTATGCAGACAAGTGCAGGTCGAAAACCAGCCTGGTTTTCTCGAGGCTGCTCTTCACGAGCTCTAGTTAGGCGTCTAAGCTTAATCGAGGCTAACAATTTAGAAACTATATTAGTTAGACTTATTCCCCTGCGATTGTCACAAGAAGACTTTTGTCCTTTCTTATAAATTGAGACAATCAAGGATCGAGACCAGTCGGATGGGATTGTGTCTAGTTCCCAGATTCTACCTAAGATTTCAGTCAATCTAGCTGCTAAAACTGGACCACCATGCTTAAAAATCTCAGGAGTCAATCTATCGGGTCCTGCTGCTCTCTCTCGCTTCAGATTTCCTATAGCTTTCTCAACTTCATAAAGAGTCGGAGGACGTGGAGATCGTGGGCAACCGAAGTGTAATTGAAGGCAAGTTGAACTGATCCCCAACGTGTTTTGCCCATTGATACAATCTCCTGGATTGAGAATGAATAATACGACCATCCTTTTCGGAGATACTTTCACTAAGAGATGTGTTTCTAATACCGGTTTCGTTGATTAGGCGGAATATTTTTCTACTGTTAACCATCATCGCTGCTCTTTCCACCTCTTTCACCTTCGCTACTCACCACTATTCGCGATCATTGCGTAGGCTTTTTATCAGCCTGCGCTCAAGCTGACTTCGCTCACCATCATGTTCAGAGCACGCACAACCTTTTTATGAGACGTTTTTGAAGTTTTAGCTCCGCACTTGTTTAAAAGGCCTTCCTGCCAGTGAGGGAAATCTGTGAGGTAAGGTGAAGTGTGACATCATTAAGGCCGACCTTTTTTAACCCCTTTCTTCCCTTATGAGAAGGCAGCATCGCTGCAGATGCTGATTGTCTAAGGGAAAAACCTTGCTGCTTTCAGATACCTCTAGAGTCAGAAGTACGACTTCGCCCTCAGACCTTCGGTAACTTCTTGTATTCTCGTCGTTCTCCAATCAACCTGCCTGGCATGGTAGAACCTACAGGAACATATGTTCCAACCAATATAGCTCGGTTGGGTCATCACGATGGGCAAGCTTTACCACTATGTTAAGGTAGCAGCAGTAGCAGTAGAATATATATTTCAATTTTAATTGTATTAAATACTTTTTAATTTATTGTTACAAGTAAATATCTTCATTGAGGAGGCTTTGCACATCGTATTCTAGTATACACATTGATAAAACTTTAAACATTCTTCTTGATTGAATCATTAGTGTTGCGCTCTAAAAAATAAAACAATAATGAAAAATTCTCAGTTAACTGAGAGAAAAAAATATCATCCAAACATCTTCATTCCTGTGTGAAACAAAACAACTATTCATCCATTCAATTTGTTAGTAGTAACAAATCAGATAGTGTATTTTGTTCATAATAAAACTGCTACTCAAGCGAGAAAAAAAACAGTTCTATACAAAATTTAAACAGAATTAGATTTTTTTTTAAAAATCTTTTCTCCTATACATCAATCAGTATATATATATATATTAGTTTCGAAAAAAAACAACACATTATCATTCATAATCTTTACTGTATCGTTTTTCAATTTGCACAACATCTTGTTGTTTAAATGTATTACGATTATTATTATTATTAGGAATAGAGAATGTCCAAAATCTAATTTAACTAATTATTCAATGTTCAATAGCGAAAACAATCATGATAATGATAATGATAAAAGGCTTTTTATTTTAACCTGGTTTCAGAACTAGGCATATTAAGTCTTAATGGTGTATAGAAAGAAATAACACTACAAAAATAATGAGATGCATTATATTGATAAAGAGGATCATTGCTTCACAATGAATAAAAATGCCGAAATCGATTGATTTGTCAATGGAACTATATTAAAAATAATACTGTGATATTTTGAATTCAATAATATTAATAATCATAATATCAAATTTAGGTCACAATAGGTAGAATTAAATTTAGACATAAATAATAAAAAGTAGTAGATAGAAATTTCTTTGAATTATGAAAAAAGTCACACATAGTCCACCTTACTGTTAGCATAATTCAGCGTAACGAACAGCTCAGTAAGTCAATTAAAAATTAAGATTGTTGAATAAAGTTTTGACATGTTGTTGATATGTTGTATGCTACATTTTTTTTCAACTAGGTTGATTGTCAAGCTGATCCTAAACAAGATTTTGTACCATGTTTTAAAGCTGGTGATCATCGTAGCAATGAAAATCTCGGTTTGTTATCATTGCACACATTATGGTTTAGAGAGCATAATCGTTTAGCTGATAGTTTGAGAACATTAAATCCACATTGGTCAGGTGATAGAATATTTCATGAAGCTAGAAAAATTGTCGGTGCCTCAATGCAAGCAATCACTTATCAATTATGGTTACCAATGATATTAGGCAATGATGGTATGCAACTATTAGGTCCGTACAATGGATATGATGATCAGATTAATCCAACTATAAGCAATGAATTTGCTACAGCTGCAATGAGATTTGGTCATACAATGGTACCACCGATTGTATTTAGATTAAATGAAAATTGGGAAACTATAGATCAAGGTCATTTATTATTGCATCAAGCATTTTTTGCACCTGATCGATTATTGAAAGATGGTGGTATGGATCCAATATTAAGAGGTCTTTTATTTCATGGTATACGTGATCGTTCAAGAAATCCATCATTAAATAGTGAATTAACGGAAAGATTATTTGCTATGGCACATGAACTTGCATTAGATTTAGCAGCATTGAATGTTCAACGTGGACGAGATCATGGATTGCCAGGCTATACTGAATATGCATATAAAGTTTGTGGATTAGGCAATTCAGCATATCCTGATTCTTTCAATGAGTTGAAATCAAGAATTTCAAAATCGTATATTTTAGAAGGATTAAGAAGAGTTTATGGTCATCCAGGAAATATAGATTTATTTACAGGTGGAATTTTAGAAGATCTTCTGCCAAATGCTCGTGTTGGTCCAACATTCGCTTGTATCATAGCTGAACAATTTCGTAAACTTCGGTCAGGTGATCGATTTTGGTATGAAACACCTGGTGTATTTTCATCAGCTCAATTAGCTGAAATCAAACGTGCAGGTTCGAGTTTATCACGTATTATATGCGAAAATTCAGATAATATTACTAAAGTCCCTGAGAATGCATTTATTCGACCGAATCGTAAAGAAGATCTTATCGATTGTAGTCGTATATCAAGATTGAATTTAGCTGTATGGAAAGAATGTCCATTTACAAGTGGTTTCTTAAGTGCACATCATGGAACAGCTTACATTACTGATACTGGTAAATTAGAACAAACTGAATCATCATTTGTCAGACGACATAAACGTGATATTGTGACAAATGAGCCTATTTCATCAGGAACTGGTGCTAATCACAGTCAAACAGAACAATTGGCATTATTATCAAATCGAATTAAACAACTGGAAGAGCAAATGCTTATTTTATTGAAAAATAATAAAGATAAATCATAATGAAACATCATAGGTAACAGTTGAAACAATAGATTTTGAACATTCCACGTTTATATCGTTTAGGAAACAAACAAACAAACAAACGAACTAGACAATATTTATGTAAAAAAAATAAAACAAAGAACACATTTATACAATTCAATGGAATAAAACTTAACCAAAGATAAATTCCTTTATTAACTTTTATCGATTTCCATTTATACTTGATAAACATACTTCATGGTAAATCAATATCTTCAGAGGAAAAACCAAAAATGAAGCCAACAAGACCTTAGGGATATTCTTAGAATATGGTTTAATCATAGTCGCCATATTTAATTATTGCAAAAAAAACAAACATTTATTTTAACAACAATAATACCGCCAAATTCAAATGTTTTCTTATCTTTTCTATTTATCATTTTCAATAGTAATTTGATCATGTGTACTTTGAAATGTGATTAAGTAGAATATAACCTTGTCAAACTAGCTAGGACTATCATTGATTCATTGTTTTTATATATTGTTAGTTAGCTGTTTACATGTACACAATAAATGTGGATGGAATATAGGATAAAAGATGATGGTAGTGATTACTACTTCTTCTTCGATCAAAACATTTGTCAACATGGTGAATTTTATAAACAATAAGTTGAAATTCAACAAAACTCTGTTCATGAATAATCATTTGAAATTTGTTTGTAAAAAAGAAAATAGTATCATATCAATTTCTGTCTAACCTGATAAGATATTTAAAGCACTGATAGATATTCAGTCGATGACTGAATTAACTGATTAAGACGAACAGAGGTGAGCGCGCTACAAGGTTGATAAGCAAAAGACCACATTACGACAACTCACATTATGATTATTATCATTATCATCCAGAATCAGTCTATAAACTGAGATAATCTTTAACTCCGCTAAACTAATTCTACGTATCATCTTCCAAAAGAACATTATATCTTTAGTATGAAAAGGACAGTACTATCGTTAGATTGAGAATTGGATGAATCATAGAAAGTAGGTCAATACGCTCTCAGATTAGGTTAATCTGCAGGTTGTATGAAGAGAGGTGGCTCCGCATCGATAGTAGTTTATACGCAATGTAACTGCGTTATTCCCTAGTGGATCCTGAAAAGAGCATCAATCACGTCGAACGGCTGGTAGATAATTGACTAGGAAATAAAAAGGGGGATCTTGGGATCAAGGAATTAAATAACGAAGTAATATAGTGGGAAACTCCGCCAGTAGAACCTTCGGGGCTACTGCCGGTCCCAAGCCCGGATAAAGGAGGAGGGTTGGACATGGGGTTGGCGACCCCATTCCGTCAAAAACTAACTTGCCAAAAAAACGCTAACCAGAAAAAATAATTCAAACCATTTTAACTCTGCCCTGGGAGTTGGAAGAAGAATTATGACGTCGCGTGATGAAAGCCGAGTTCCCTCGGAAGTCACGGGGCTGATGCCTCTTCTGACAACTAGAGCAACCATTTTTTTAGGTACATGGAACGTTCGTACACAAGCCCTCACATGGAACCCTCAAGGCAAAAGGAAAAGAGGAAGGCCAAAGAATACATTACGCCGTGAAATAGAGAAAGATATGAGAGGAATGAACAAACATTGGACAGAACTGGAGAGGGAAGCCCAGGACAGAGTTGGTTGGAGAAAACTGGTGGGCGGCCTATGCCCCATTTGGGGTAACAGGCGAAAGTAAGTAAAGTAAGTAATAGTGGGAAAACTAACAGGAATCAAAGCTACACAAGGTTGGCCAGAATCGGTCATATTCCAAAAATTAAAATGTTGCTCAATCTTACTGAACAAATTTCAAAGTATTTAAGAGTGAATACAGAACAAAATAAACATGATCAAAAACTGACCATAAATTTAATTAATAAACTTTCTAAAGAATAAACATGATCATTTAATTAAATCTCTGGTACACTTAGGTAAACCCTTTCAGATATTCTCTTTTAAACAACTAGTCGAACAAATTGATGTTAACACATTGAAATCAACAATCAGTCACTGTTAGACCGCAATTATAAACCTGGAAGCACTCACTGAACGGCCGTTTCGTCCTGGTATGGGACTCGTCAGTCATCCAGAGGTTAAGCGTTCGCGCACAAGACCGAAGGTCCTGGGTCCGAATCCTGTAGGAGTCGTGGATGAGCACTGCTAACTATAACACAAATGATAGTTAATAATTATTTTCGTCATAGATCTACAAAACTATGACAATCTAGTGAAATTCATTCTCCAGTCTGACCTTGTTGTCACTGTAACTTATTTACCGTGTACAAGTTGTTATACTCACCTCTCAGATACAATTCTTGTCATGCGACGTTTAGTGAAATCAATCAGTGAAATCAATCAATCAAAAATGCGATTTCTTGGTTTGAAGTCATAGTTTTCAAAATGAAATAAACAACAGTCCCATTGTTCTATTTATAATGTTACGAGAAAACTTGTTCAACGTCCATTATGTTAATTTCCCAAATACAAAACACATATCTTTTACGCCTATGTATTATTATTAGTACTGGAAAAATGGAAAATTTATTAAATTATTTGAAATTTGAGAAAATAAAAGTAATCAGTCAATTAATTTTTACGCATTTCACCTTCTGTATAAACGTGAGAAAGTGAATTTACGATAACATTGTCAGTATTGTAATACTGATTTCAAATTCTACACTAGTGTCGTTGAAAATTTAAAAATAATTACTTTAATATAAGTGTGTTTTTCATCGGAAAGAACCAATTACAAATAATTAAAAGTAATATGATTGTGTAGATTTCCCACAATAGAACTTAATTAAAAATCATAGGACATATTTACAATTATTCATCAATACACATAAATGTATTGTCACAGAGTTAAGCACTGTGAAAGTTAACCTGGAACTATATAGGAATTTCAAAAAAGTTAAAGCTTTTATTTAGTTGTGAACAATACCATAATTATTCTTTAGTGCTGACCGAATCTTATTGAACAAGTTGTAGTATGACCCTATAAGCCTAAGTGACTTGACATGTGTGTTTTATGATCAGAGGTACTCGACAGGAAATACTGGATCTGGTTTCGTCGTGCTATTTCATAATTACCAGCAAAGTGCAACTTCATTTTCGAAGGAACTGATGCTTTCTGAGAGATTTGAATTGAAGTCATTCCGTTTCACAGTTAGGGACGTAAGGACTGTGAGCTGTTTGTGCAACGGCTGATCTTCTCTATGACTGAGATATAAATAAGCAATCGATCACTGTGTAGTTACTACTTTCTTAGAGTTGATCAAATTCACTTCTTGAAATATATTTATAAATAATATTTAAGGTCTTATTTTTTAAGAGCTAACGTCAAAATGAAAAGGTGGAACCAATGAACAAGTTTATTACAATAGCAGTAGCCAATTACATTTCAAGGGCATTATTTATCTCAAGGAAACAATAGTTCGAATAAATAACGGTCAGGAATAACAGTAAGCAAAATACATATTTCTGATTCTGATAAACATTAGCACTTTTGGAGATCACGTGAAACGGTCATAAGTATCTAGTATCTTCGTCCTTGTAGGTATGATAGATTAAACCGAGAGATTAGTGATTATTCCTCCAGAATCAATTTTAATGTTTAGGCGTTCGCGCGCAAGACCAAAGGTCTCGGGTTCGAATCCTGCCAGGTGCATGAGTCGTGGGTGTGTACTGCTGAGGAGTCCCATACCAGGACGAAACGGCCGTCCAGTGCTTCCAGGTTTCTAATGGTGGTCTAATAATGATTTATTGATGATTTCATATGTGAAAAAACAATAATCTCCATAACTCTAATTGAAAAATGACTCACAATTACTCTATGATGGATGAGTAGCCGTTCAGACAACCTCAACTAAATTTATCAGGGGTTTTATTTTCTAAAATCTATATGTACTGCTGGAAAGTGAGGATGATAACTGAATTCGTTCGGTTATTATTAGCTGGCTTCAGAGTTTTTTAAAAATAGATTGTTAGTCATGATGGTAAATAAACGAAATCATGTGTTACACGATAACAAATTAAGATACTGAAGTATATTTCTATCAAACTTATTCATACATGTTGAACAGATTAAGTACCGTATGCTAAGTATTAACTACTTAATACTACTTATCCTTATGCATAAAATTTAAACAGTAAGAAGAGAATCAAAGCATTCCATATAAAAATGAGGAAAAAATACACGCACGAATTAAAGGCATTTTACTACAATCAATTAGAACGTCTTAGAATTAAGTCATTAGGTGATTAGTAAAGTGAGAACCATAAGTTGTATTTCCGTCCGACTGCATACAGGGATATATATATATTTGAAAAAAAACAAGTTTTGATAATAAGAACCCGATTACCAGAAATTTTCGTTTTAAATTAGATTATTCATATTTCCTTACTTTTGTAGATAGATGACAGGTATGAATACATTTTAGACACGGCTTCGAGTTATTTTTATTCAGACAGCTAAACTATCAATAGTCTTGCACCAAGGTCAAGATATTGACAAACATACAAGCATAACTTGATGAGATAATAGGTAATACGCAAAGGAAATATAGACGTCATGAAAAACAATCTGAATTATTCCTTAACGAGAATGAGTGTTTACACGGTTGGAACAAGTGTGTATTGTTTTGAAATAAACAAAGATAAGCAACCAATTTTATGGTATTCACGGGTAACATATTTTTATTATAAATAATCACTAAATGGTCATGCTTGTCTAGTCATTTTAGTAGCGCTCATCGAATTCAATCGATCAAGTCGCAGTGCGATTCGATATTTTGACTAAGAATAAAATTAATTTTAATTGAATTTATGCGTATAGTTAGCATGCATTAACGTAAGCCTGATAGATAAAATGCAAATAGAGACGTCGGTTGAGAAAAAGAAAGGGACGATTCAATTCATTCAAAAAGTCACTGAATCTTGGTCTGAGTCATGTTAACAGATGTAAACTACCTGGTCAAGAAACCAATCGATAATTTTAACGAGTGGGAGACTTTCAGTGAGATGGCTTAGAATGGTTAACAATGAAACAGAAGCATTCAAGGTTAATCATTTTCTTGATCTGAGATTCTAGTATTCCTTCATATGTTTTTTCATTATTTTTTGAACTATATTCTCAATACTCACTTATCCTTATTATGACTTCTTCTAATCAATTTCCATCTATTGCTACTCATTTCGATAGTTTCATCACACCGTGTTGATAATGTATGGCAATTCAGGCCAAATTATATATCTATACTAGGTTCTACATTGATAATGACTGGAATGATAAATTCATTGGTGATATTTTCGTCAACTGTTGTGCTTGAAACTATTACGAGTTCACCTTATTCGGTAAACGAGAGCGAAGATAAATGATGCAATGACACGACAAGCTATTCTGATTCGATTGTCCTCGGCCCTGCTAACTATATAGGAAGAAGTCTTGATAAGGCGTAGAAAGTGTATTCTACAAGCACCCAGAAAACATGAGGTTGACAAGCGCACAAATCGAGTTTATTTATACATGATAGAAACGTCCTCGAGAGAGCCACAAAACTAGAGTACTAAAATAATATATCAACCAATGACAGGACTTTCCGGGCAAGAAATGCAAACTCAGGGTCAACTGTTCAACTCATGTGCGAAATCATAAAATCCAAAATTAGGACCCTTATCAAGTGAGTTCTAGGGATCTAATGTCCTCAACAATAGGATTATTTATCGAAATCTACAATTTTTCAAATCAACAATGACTATTGACTTCAAAATATACACTGTAGAAGAATCAGTACACCACTACTCATTCAATTCAATTTGTTCCAATATCGTGTAAGCACTAATGTACACTATTCGACTGTGCGTGATTCACGTGAGTAATCATTAACTACTTAAATAGACGAGATAAGAGAAGAATACACCTAAACTGTTAATCAGATAAACATTATTATCATCATCATCGTTCAAATTGATCTGTTATGAGCCTATCAATAGTAAACAATCAATCCCATTACAAAAATTGGATCTCATTTATACGCTGTGTATTTTTATTTTATTTTTACAAAAAGAAGGAAACGATCGGGGAAAAACAAAAGAGGGCGGAGAAAAAAAGAACTTTCCTTCTTTATTTTTCTTTCTTTCTGTTTTCTCAGCATGAAAATGTACACATAATACAAATATATAACTCTTTAAAACAGAAACGCAAATGAAAAAAAAACACAAAGTGAACTAGTTAGATAGTGAGTTAGTTTTCTTTTTTTGTTTATTTATACAAAACATGCATTTTTATTTATTTACAATTGAACGCATGGAAAAAGGTAATAATACACACATAACAAATGGACTATTTTATCATTGGCCTGTTTACACTGAGATCATTCATAAAAAAGAGAAAAAACAGAACAAAATGCATCAAGATGTGGAAAAGCATGATGAGTTAGTTAGAAAGAGTTGGAGCGAGATGTTCAAGGAATACACACACATAGACGGATAGATAGACAGACAGACAAATAAACCGGGATCCCAGTTTGTTTTGTTTTGTTCTTCTCCTGAAAATCAAAGGTATCTATCTCTACATGAAACGAAAAAACACTTCACAGGGTTGAAATTGTACAAACAAGCCGAATGGCAAGACAGAAAATGAAGAATAAGAAAAAAATTCAACACACAAGCAGTAAGTAAATATGTGTTAGCAGTGTGTGTGCATGAAACAATGTGAATAGGGCAGTTAGTTAAGTGAATAACATTTGTGTTACATACAGGTAGCAGTATATGATGATTAAGAAAAAAACCAGACTAAGAAAAAAAGTATTACAAATTCAATGAAGAATTTCAATGAAACTTCACAATTTACTCATCGATGTGTTGCCTCATGTTGTACACACACTTACAGAAAGGGGAATAAGTAAGTTAAGTAAGATTGCCTCGGCTTCGATTTCAATTTCAAAAAAAACCAAATGAACTAACATGTCAGATCATTAGTATTGAGTGACTGGATGGTTGATTTATCGATTGATCGATATGGGTTTTGCATAATCTAAGGATGATAGTAACACACACACACACACACACACAAGATCACCAGACAAGAGGTAAATTGTTCAAGGTCGAATTGAATTCTTTATCGAATAAAACAAAAATAGTACATAAAAATGTTTACAAAAAACAAAACAAAACAAAACAGAAATAATTAAATAAATAGGTAAATAAGTAAAATAAAACTTTTTTTTAAAAAAAAGATTGCAATAATAAAAATGTCAGGCGCTAATTAATAATTGCTTTATAATACAAATAAACACAAAGAAGCAGGCAAGCAAGCAAGCAGTATATATATAACAAAAATATACTTTATATTCATCAAAGTGAACATGATGAAAATAGGCAGAACTATGACAACAGTAATAACAAAATACGAAAGAGAGATCAATTGCTGTTTTGTTATTGGTGATGTTCTGTTGTTGTTTCATGATGCTACTATACATCAGTATCAAAACACTCCATTGGACGATTTACAATGTTAACAGTGGAGAGGCATAATAATAATATGAAGATCAATTAGAAGGAGAATTATGTAGAAGTTTTAATAAATGCCATAAAAAATAGAAATAAGAATTATTATACACACACATCATGATTTAAAGAGAGAGAATGTAAGTAAACATTTTTAATGCAAACGAACAGAAGAAGAACAAGGAGAAATAACAAAAAAAAATATGACAAAATAATTCATTTTATAATAAACAGAAATTATTTCGTACAAGAACAACACATTGTTGAGAAACAACATGCACTAAGATGTGAACGTGGACGATGCTTTGAATTGATATTTTTATGCGATGATATGGCGCTAGAATCCACACTACAATGACTAGTAGTTGTAATAGATAATGGTGTTTTGGCTACATGCAATTCATCTGTTTTTAAATCATCTTGAGTACCAAGTGTGCTAGTAAGCATCGATGTAGGACAATCGGATTTACTTTGTTTATCTTGTTTAAATAAATGTTCACCAGTGGATAGTTTTATTTCAATACTAGATAAATCAGATTTATTAGGTTTTTCTAAACCACCGGATGAAATACCACTAGTTGTTATTTGTTCTTCCATGTCTATTGGATTGTTATTAGTTTTATTCATGGATTGATTATCATCTGTAGGTGGACCATGCGGTCGATGTTTACGTTTAAAAAGTCTACTGAAAAAACTTTGACTATGTGAAAGATTTTGTTGAATAGGTGGAGTATCAGGATTTAAATTATCGACTAAAGTACCATCAGATTTGTAAAATTCATTTAAATCATCAAAACAACCAGTTTCTAACATCTAAAACAAAAAAAAAGGCAGAATGATAAGGATTTATCATGAAAATAATATATACATATATATCAATATAATGACTACTTATTATGAATAAATTATTATTATTATTATTATTATTATCTGATTGGGATTCACGTGATAACTACGACTTTAGAGGTAATATGGGCTCAAAAATTGGTCACAGTGGTACAGACACACATTCACCTCTGTGTCTTGTGTTCCAATATTCATCAAAAAACATACATTTTAATTTTGTCCATTTGAAGCAAATGTTCAGTCTAATTCTATTATTATTGCTTATATGTTATTTTCATCTATTAAAGTTCATTTCATCAAACTGATGTGTTATAGTAACTTGAGTCAAGCGAACATCTACATCAAACTTTATATTAATGACTGATTTGGAGTGATTAATTTATAGTTTAATATTTGTATAAACCAGTGAAATACTACATTTAGTGTGTATTTAAATATTTTCAATTAGAGTTATGGAGATAAGTGTTTTTACATATTCGAAATTATCCATAACTGTAATTGAAAATATTGTAATATGTGATCACTAGTGACTAGCTTCGTGAGAAAATTCTTAGAGTTCTAGTGAGAAGACGTGACCAGTGGAGTTCAACCCTGCCGAGGTGGCGCAAAATCTCTTAATCAATCAGAGTTAGACATTAACATCGTTGGATGCCGGACCAGTGGTCCAGAGGTTAGGCGTTCGCGCACAGGATCGAAGGTCCCGGGTTCGAATCCAGCGAGATGCAGGAGTCGTGAATGCGAACTGCTGATGAGTCCGATACCAGGATGAAGTGGCCGTCCAGTGCTTCAAGGTTCTCAGTGGTGGTCTAACAATGATTGATAGATAACTTCAAATGTGTATATAAATGATGCAAATACAATTTTAAGAAACACTAGCTTCATCGAATACATTAAAAATTACAAATCTTGAAGTAAATTAGACAATTGACAGTATATACAGTTTAGTTGGCTGTATACGGGTAAATCATAAATGTGCGAACATAGTTTAGAAAATAAAAGCACAAGGAGAGAAAATATATGATATCTGGTGGAAGATTAGGAAAGCAGACGAGCGTACACAACAGTCAAATGGATTTTAAGCCATTAAGTCATGAGGATATCGACATGGAAAGAACTACACACTACTTCATGTAACTCAAACCATCAGTGATAAAAAGATAGTGACATAAACACTTTGGTTGACAGATAGAACTTTCTTGGACCTAGTTATACACCAATCGAAATAGTATATTAAGGAAGATAGAAGTTAGAAAGTAGTCCTAACCACAGGTATCAGAGGGAAGGACTTTTCCACCTAACACTGGTATTTTTCACTCAGTAATCATACTAACAGTGATGAATGTTTACAATGAGGCGGTAAATCTAGACTGAATTCGGCTTAAATGAACTTAACATCCAGTAACCATCAAGTGTTAGGTGATATCAATCACATGATTCACCTTTGATTAGAATATAGATCATACGGATGTAAGAAGTGAGACTGTTACATATATTACTTTAGGCAAAAATTGAAAATTTCCCCCCTTCCAATCAACTTACTTCATTCTGCCATGGTATACTAACAGCACCGGAACAGAATTTTTTATAAAATTCCATATCTTTATTGTCTAAAGTAACACCTTTAATTGTAGAGAATTGTTCAATATCTAAAACATCTTTTGCGTAAACTGCATGAGGCTGCAAGAAACAATAATAAAAATGTAAATGGGAATCAATAGAAAGCAATAATTTCTAATAATTATTATAATATTAGAAAATATTCATTCACAATCAGTTCATAGTAAGATGATTACATTGCTCTGAAAGTAAAAAACAAGATTCATGGCTCAATAGGTAAATTATAATCAGAAATTGATGTTCAGAATGAAAAAAAGCAACCACATCCTAATCATAAATATAATTCACGAACTAACTAACTAACTAACTATATATATATATATATATATATATATATATATATGAACATAACTTTCATTGAATCAAAATTTGTGAGTCGCGATGGCTAGGTGAAGAGAGAAGTCCTAGCGATACTAGTTCAACTTTCTCAATCAAAATCAGTGACGTGGCAGGATTTGATTTTAGTTCACAAATGCAGTGCCTAAATCAATGAGTTGCACCAAAAAAAATTTTATGAGTATTACGGGGTGATAATTTCTTTTCTAATTTCATCTTTTCTTCTATTTCACTAACTTGATAGCATTGTTTCAAATAAAAAGAACTCACAACTGATCAACGTACACAAATGAGGTGAGAAACTCAAACATAAATATCGTAGCGAATGGAACGAAACCCAAGTACCTTACAATTCATAGATATAAATTGAAGTAAATATCCTTACAATACCTACAATACTTTTCAGTTTAAAGGTCCGTAATGATCATCGCAGAGATATCTGACATTTTTTCTGAATATTCCCTGTCTGAGCATTTGGAAATGTCTAAGACAGCTACAACCTGACCGTAGCTGCTACCTTGACGTGGTAGGCGGGCTTGCCTATCTTGATGACCCAACCGAGCTATGTTGGCTGGAAAATATGTTCCTGAAGGTTCTACCATGCCAGGCAGGTCGATTGAAGAACGATGAGACTAAAAGCAGCTACTCAAGGTCCTGAGGGCGGAGTCGTACTGCTGACTGTAGAGAGGTGTGACAGCAGTAAGGTGTTTCCCTCAGACAACCAGCATCTGCAGCGATGCTGCCTTCTCACAAGGAAGGAAGGGTTAGAAAAGGTCGACCCTAAAAATGACACACCTCACCCTACCTCACGGATTTCTGTCTCCGGCGGTAAAGGTGCCCAATAAGGGCTTTCAAGAGCGGAGCTAATACTCTCTCATAAAAATGCCATGCGTGATCGGCCTCAAGCAGTTGTCCTCTGGGCTCTGTGGTCACACAACCAGGTCTCTAAGACCAACACTAATCTACCTTCCTTTTCAGATTCATCAAGAAACAACCTTCCACGGTGTGTGCAGCCGGGAAGTGACAACCGCCCTCATACCCGTAACAGCACACGAAACCAAATTGGTCAAAATCAAAGACAGATACAATGTAACTAGTACTGAAGCCATTGTATTAATGATCGCGATTCATGTAAAAATATTGATTATTAAACTAACAGTGTTTCGAAAATTTAAAAAAGCTCTCATCTATTAATATTTAAAATAATTCAATAATCAATGTTAAGGTTGAATTTGTTAAATTATGCTGCATACTTGTTACTAATAATATTATTATGATGAACGATACAATGATTTATTGCTTACAAGTAAAAAAAGCCACAAAAAAACACACTCTGAATCGGTTAAAATTAATTATTTTATTTTAGTAAGTCATTTATTATCTTGTCCTATTTGTGAATAAGTAATTAGATATTAAGTAAGCAAAACGGATAAGTTGCAATGTTAAATTACACCGACCTCATGAAATAATCACTAACTCAATAACAAAAATCAATTTATTTGAATATTATCAAATATTGTTCTACGCAGTTATTACAATGCTTAACTAGATAAATAACTATTTTTATGTTTCAATAATGAATTGACTTGCCTACAAAATTTTATTAAGTCACGTATTGAAAACAAGAACACATATTTTAACATATTATATAGTTGGTGAAAATATGCTTTATTTTGAAACAAAGTTCTCATAAGTAGAACTAAGATTAACCATGTAACAATGGCATGAACTAGTTCATTCTAGTGTGTAGTTTTTCAGTTCTGTATAGAGTTATGATGCGTTAAGTGAATGGAATTTATAGTATTTCGATTTAATCGATTTTGTCATACAATGAAGGATAGATGGGACAGTTCAGTATTCAATTTATCGGATAAGTACTTGGAATGCTCTTCACATAAATTTTAATAGTTTTCATTGAATCGGTTAAGAAAAAAAAAGCGTTGGTTAAAACACTATTTTATGGAGTAGAAAGTAAATGTACCTCTGAAAAAAAAAACAGAAGAACAATCAATGAACGCTGAAAATCAACCTAAGCGGCAAGTGTTACTTACAGAAATTGGTTGACAAATTCAAAAAATAGAGTGTAAATCAGATTTTTTGAACATAATTCTAAAAGCCTTCGAAAAAAAGTAAGAACTACTTTAAATAGTGCAATCACCTAACACCCCTTGGATACAGGACATGAGCTTCATGCTAGCAGTCGTGATAGGTGATTAATAAACAGCAAAATCCCAGTCTTCGGAAATTTGCTGAAGCCGACGGCGCCTGAAACCCGATTCATGTATTTCTACATTGCATCATTGGATTTCGTCCAACTCTTTCTCCTAAACAATCACTTCGTAACCTTTTAATTCAACTATCTTCTAGATCAGAAATCCGATTTCAAACCAACTGAGCTGCATTCATTTTATCCATACTTACTACCAGAGTTTGTTCATTACGTAACAAGTTGATTCTAGCACTTCAGAATTCGTTATTATCAACGTTGTAGTGTTTTTCTATGTGTAAAGCATGCATTTAAAATCTTTTATTCAGTCTACTAAAATCATTTATACCCTTGCCATCATACTAAACTGACGTGTTGTGATCAAAACAACTTTCAACTAAACTCTTTCATGTCAATAATTTAAATCCTATTTGTACTAATCATTTTAAATATTACAAGTTGTAAGCAACTGATAAGAATCAAACGAAATAAAATGAATTCATCTTATTCTGTTTGAATCTTTGTTTTCACTTTCTTCTGAATTGATCTAGAACATTACGGTCAAACAAAACTCTTGTTTTCATTCAACATATGGTAGTAATATGGATGGACACATTACACTGATAACATGATTTAAAATGTAAATGTTTGTTTCATTTCAACAACAACAAAAAAACACAACCTTATTCAAAGAAAAAATAATGATATTGATGTTCAAATATAAAATGATCTTTTTTCTCTATCCAATAGCAATTATTAATGTCAAGAGGATAGAAGCGATCCAACTAAGCCAAACGAACAGACAAACACTATAGCCTCGGAATTGACATATAAAAAGCCATTTACCTTATTGGTATCTTCAACATTATATATATTATCATGAAAATTACACAGTCAATAAAAGATTATAAGAAAAACGTTAAGACAAATTTATCAGTCCGGTAGGCAAATATACACACCATTTTCAATCAATCAATCAACAGCAACGTAGAACTTCGTATGTACGTACGTACGTACATCAGTTCAAGTTGCCATACTACATTAGCACAGAGATCTAATTGTCAATTCAAATCCCATAATAGTAGTAGAGGTGGTAAAAGTATTAGCAGTAGTCGGAGAGATTAGGATTAGAAGATATTAATTGAGAAACAGAATCGAGTGAAATAAACTTAAAAAGATAAAGATAAAATGATGGGGAATTCAGAAGATTGGAATTTGACGGAACACAAAGAATGAATGCACCTAAGCCAATGAAAACGGTTTTGAGCCATGTCATTCAGAGTCTCTAACCATCGACTACTATCATCTCGCCGGCCCCAACCAGGTAGTCGACACATGCCGACATGACTCAATTCAATTGTCAGTGACCTCATGGATTTGTGCCATGTTTTGGCTTGGTCGCCCATAGCTGCATATCAAAACATAGCTCGACGAGGCAGTCGGTGGTTAGCCATACGTAACACGTGTTTCAATCACCTCAAATGATGAACATTCACTATTTCATCAATCGATCTGCCATCCTAACCTAGGACCCGTCTCCTAACAACAGCATTGCTTACTCGGTAGTCCCATGATACACGGGCAATGCTTTAGAGACACCTATGATCGAAAACACACCACTTAAGATTGAATAAACTTAGTAGCTTGACGTACTGAATTAGTCGAAGCCATAATTTGAAAAAAAACCTAATCTATATAACTTCAGAAGGTCATGTTAAACGGAACACATTATTCTTAAGTCATAAATTACAAGTTGCCATACATTAAATCTGTAATAGCTTAATAATTTCGAAACGAACAATTAACTATGAAGGTAATTCAATGATTGGTAACTTAATGAAATGAATTGAAATGAATAAAAAAAACGATGTTTACACATATTAGAATTAAATGGCTTTTTTTTAAAAAGTTTTTTTCCATAGAAAAAAAATAATAAAGTAAATTGGACATGTTTTCGGGACAATGAACAATATTTATTAGAAGAATCACATTTTATAATCTAATCGATTGAGTTATATCGACCATTTATACATTTTTCAAATTGGTTAATATGATAGATGTTAAATTATTCGTTTTTTTTTTGAAAAAAAAAAAGATTATCTCTTATCTCTATTGGTAGTATGTGATAGTACATTTGAATGAGAGTTTGTTTTAATAATCTCTGTAAACTACAAATTATCAGGAAACAGTAAAACAAATTTTAAAAAAATGTATTTTGTGTAGGTTACATTCATCACATCTCGATTTTTTTTTGAAAACCAAAGGAGCACTTGAAAGTTATGTCACCCTAGTATCATACTCTTCAGGAATCACGTTCAGATTTCGTAGCGATTGGTTACCGTTTCGGACCAATTTTTCATCTTCAGTCGCTGTTCGATAAAGCCCAAAGGTCACTCATTGTCATTAGTCAGTCGGTTACAACGTAGAACTTCGTACGTACTTACATCAGTTCAGGTTGCCATACCGCATTAGCACAGAGACGTAACTGTCAGTTCTAATCCAATAGTGGTAGCGATAGTAGAAGTATTAGCAGTAATGGAGAAGATTAAGGTTCGAAAATATTATTGAAGAAGTATCATTCAGTGAGATAAATTTAGAAAGAGAAAGGTAAAGATGATAAGGATTTAAGAAGGTCAGAATTTCATAGAACACAAAGAGTGGATGCACGTGCGACATTGCAAACGATTTTGAGACATGTCGTTCAAGGTCTCTAACCATTGGTGACCTTCGTCTCGCGGACCCCAACCAGGTAGCCAACATGACTCAGTGATTCATTGGATTTGTACCATATTTTGATTTGCACGCCCTTAGCCTTCTTCCAACGCACTTCTACACCAAAAAACATTGCTGTTTGAGGTAGTCTGTGGTTGGGTATTCGTAACACATATCCCAACCACCTCAACTGATGAAGTTTTAATGAATCCTCTATGGACCTGCCATCCCTACCTATTACTCGTTTTCTAAAGACGGCATTGCTTACTCGGTTGTCTCAGGATACAAGAGCAATGCTTGAGAGACACCGATGATGGAATACCAGTAACCTATGAACATCTTCTACTCTGACTGGCCATGTTTAACATCCATTAGTGATATGCCTGAAATTCACCAGCAATGATGAAATAATTGTCTATGATAATTTAACTGATGTTAATCTGTGACAAATACTATCTACGAATGAAACTAATCACCCTAAACTACAATAACACTAATTACTCTTTATGTGCATCCTTGATGGTACTACTTAATGAAACTGAATGTATTTGGAATTACATAAATCGCAACAGAGATTGCACACAATTGTCATCGATAAACTATGTAGCACAACACCCAAAATGTACACATTATTGCTTTTTGTTGTTGTTGTTGTATTTTGAGAGTTTAAACACAACGTGAATGGATTACAAATTATGAAAAGTCATTATTTTGATGATGATGAAGTTGTCACTAGAGTGTGAAGTGATGAGTTTTATTTTAAACTGCAATAATATTAGTTACGAGTGTTGCGGACGTTAGATCCCCAGAACTCACTTAGAAAAGGTCCTAATTTTGAATTTTGTGTTTTCGCGCATGGGCTGATCCGTTGACCTTGAGATCACATTTCTCCCTCGGAAAATCCTTGACTATCATTGACTGATGTATTATTTTAGTAAGCTATTGTTATGGCCCTCTCAAGAACGTTTCTATCATGTATAAATATACCAGATTTGTGCGCTTGTCAACCTCACAATTTTCTGGATGCTTGTAGAATACACTTTCTACGCCTTATCAAGACTTCTTCCCATATAGTTAGCAGGGCCGAGGACAATCGCATCAGAATAGCCTGTATCATTTGTCTTTGCTCTCATTTACCGAGTAAGGTGAACAGTGAATAGTTTCAAGCATATCAAAGAATGACTACATTATTTAATGAACTTGAACTTGATAAACGCCCAAATGTTTGTTTGTTTTACTTTTTACATTACAATTTTAATGTAACAATATGCATGAATGAATGAATGAATTCAAGTGATTTATCAAGTTTGTTTAATTTAGTTTCTTTTCAGAAAAAAAAAGGAACTTACTCAGATTATTATTATTATTATTATTATTATTATTATTTAGGCATACAATTTATATACAATTTGATATGAAAATTTCAGTTATTATTATTATTATTATTATTACTGACCTAAAAACATATTAGTTGAATTTGATTGGTAGATATAATTCCGTATTATATATAAATAAGTTTCGATGTAAGTGAGATTCATCGGAAAATGGATGTAGCACATGACAACTTGTTATTTCATCAGTATGCCTTAATAAAGAATATTCAATGAGTGTTATGTTAATGAATTGACTGTTTACTATTAGTTTACATCGTATTAACTAATAAACAAAAAGTATAAATCTATTTGGTTTTTTAAATCAAATAATAAAAAGATCATATTATTACTTTAACTGGAATGAGACAGCTGTTTAAATTAATTTCCTATAGTCTTAAGGGGTATAATGCATTATTTGAGTTATCTAACCTTTAAAAATTAAGATGTAAGATAGTTATTATCTGAATTTTCAAGTGATATAGTAAATGAACTTGCATTATTTGAACAAAGCATAATGATCAGATTGATAAATCACATTTAAAATTTATACAAGTTTATTGTTTTTTTTTAATCTACCACAAAAGTAGCCAACTTACATCAGGAAGAAATGGTGCATCTTCAAGTCCAGCCTCTAAACGTACCCAATTAATACAAGAAAACCAACTGTGATGTTTAACACCTTCAGCGCCAGCATCATCACAACCAAGTCGACAATGTGGATCTTTTTGTAAAAGCTTTGCGGAAAAATGAAAAAAATAACGAAAAATCTAGATTTAATATTACATATGAGACAATACAATTCTAGTCAAATGTCAAAAAAAAACCACAATTGACAAAATCTATAAAACCAGATACGAGTTAATTATTACCTAAATATATATTTTTAAGTAAAATAAAACATAAATTATATTTTTGAAGAAATTTTAGGAAAGTCTTTATGGACCATTTAGATTTATGTGATGAAATTAACAATCTCGTAATGATAACAATCATTACTATTATTAATATTCATCTGAGATTTGAATTAAAACGCTTAATGTGTTAAAACTTGTACTGGGTTTTATGTTGTTTAAATAAAGTATTTTTCTCAAGAGAAAGTACATTATTAGCTTAAATATATCAAATAGAGCTGCATATTTATAGGATTACATAAAATATCAAATGGAATTTTTTAAAATTAAAAGAAAAAAAATTATTTGAATTTTTGTGTTTTATTTGCTTGATGAATGATAGGAATTCCAATTTTCCTTAAGATATGACCGCACAGAAAATCAAACGCAATCGAGTGCAAACGCCTAGCCTTAAGACTATTCAACCAGTAAATAATGGTGTATATGTTCAACTAAAATGAAAGATCTGTCCAGTGCTTCCTGACTTCCAATGCTTGTGTATCTAAAATCAGTTCATGATTCAAACTGTGAGAATTCCACCATCTTCACTAAACCTTATGCTGATCAACACAAAAGTTTGATTTACTTCTGTTTCGATAAAATTACAATCATTAAAATGTTAAAATCCAATTTCATTACGGGGTTGTGTAAGTTGTGTATGTAAGTTACATACTTGAAATCAAGAACTGGGTCAATGTTAGACCACCACTAGAAACCTGTAAGCACTGGATGGCTGTTTCGTTCTGGTACGGGACTCATCAGCTGTGCGCATTCACGACTCCAGTACCTCGCAGGATTCGAACCCAGGACCTTTGGTCTAGTGCGCGAAAGCCTAACCTTTGGACCACTGAGCCGGTATCTAGCAGTGTTAATGTCTAACTTCGATCAATTCACGGTCTTGCGCAACCTCATACACTGTCTTCAGTAGTTACTGTCTACACCTGAACAGGTTGAACTTCACTGGTCACAACTTCCCACTAGAACTCGGAGAAGACTCCTTATGGAGCTAGTCACTAATGAGTACAGGTAATTGCGTTACGGGGTTGTGAAGATTAGTAAGTTACACACTTAAAATCATGAATCAATCATTATTAGACCACCATTAAAAACCTGGAAGCACTAGACGGCGGTTTCGTCCTGGTATGACACTCATCAGTAGTGCGCATTCACGACTTCTGCACCTCCTATGTGTTTATTTTTAACTTATCTGCATCGTAGTAACACATTCTTTTATTTTCCATTTGGTTTTAAATCCTGCTGTACCCTTACTATTATTACTGAAATTCTACTCAATAAAGTAAGAAGAGCCATCTACCATTTTATAACGGTATATCTAAGCTATAACGTTAATCCTCTATAAAATTCTCATTACACAATCGTTTTTCTCTTCTTTTTTTTTCTAACCGTCAAATGATTCATTGCATTATTCAACAAGTAATCGATGCAACAACAACAACAACGGTGGATTCATTACGCCATCATATCAACATGGGACAGTTAGTTAGTTAGTTGGTTGATTTACGTTATCATTCAATGGAAAGTACATATGCAATATATCTATTATGGGCACGTAGGTTCTTTCGAAGAAAAAAATTATAAATCATTGTACATGATATGTAAACACAGATAAAGATTATTAACCAAATAAAAAAATATTTGTTTTATTTAGTTTATTTAGCCCCAGACACAATAAAAAAATCGCACCGTTTTTTATCTTGAAAAAAACAAGCAGAAAGCGAGTTTTGTTCATTCAAAGAAAAAGACGAATTTTACAATGAAATGGATATAAAAACAATTTTGTAGTGTGCTTTTTAGTAGACAGATAATTTTCATTTAGTTATTTGTGGTTCATATAAATAAATGTTATAAATTGTTGTTGTGATTTTATGATTTATTATTGCGCTTTGAATAATATACCTGTAAGCAAGCACAGGTTGGTGTAATCGATATACTGACGTACAGTTTCAATGTAAATTAGATATTTGGAGGTAGTCGACAGGATACGCTGAGCTTTATGTTCTATGCTCGTATACACTGGGACAAACGAGTAAGCAATGCTGTCGTTAAGAAACAAGTACTAGGGTAGGGATTGCAGATCGACTGATGAAATAGTGAAGCTCCATCAGTTGAGGTGGTTCGGACATGTGTTACGAATACTCAACCACAGACTACCTCGAACAGCAATGTTTTGTGGTGTAAGAGTATGTTGGAAGAAATCTAAGGGCGGCCAAACCAAAACATGTCACAAATCCATGAAGTCACTGACAAGTGGACTGAGTCATTTCGGCAGATATAGGCTACCTGGTTGGGGTCCACGAGACGAAATTCACCAATGGTTAGAGACCTTGAACGACATGGTTCAGAATCGTTTGCGATGACGAAGGTGCATCCACTATTCTAACATTCTAAATTCCTCATCATATCTATCTTTCTCCTAAATTTATCTCACTGAATTAATTATACCTCTCGAATCATATCTTCGCTCCCTAATCTTCTCAATTACTGCTAATACTTCTACTATCGCTACCACTATTGGATTAGAACTGACAGTTACGTCTCTGTGCTGATGCGGTATGGCAGCCTGAACTGATGTAATTACGTATGAAGTTCTACATTGAAACTGACTGACTGACTGATGCTAGTTGACACTTGTCAAATATCCCTCATTAAAATCTCTAGACTCTCAGAAACGCTATGAAACATTTTATTCAAAATCAGCACAGAACTGAAGATACGCAGAAACATTTAGAAGATACAGTCACAGTTTCGACTGGATATTCACCTATACTGTTACTATATCTGGCATGGTTTCCGAAATCTCTAAAGACTCCAAGTCGTGAGTAACTCCGCAAATACACTCATTTATCTGTATATGAATTGAACTCGTAGCAAAGTTTTAACTCGAAAGTAATTCGCGCATTTCCTCTACTGTTCCAGTTGACTTTTAGGAGTAATTGGGTTTATTGACGGTTGAGAGTTTTGCAACTGTAATTGATATATTTCATGATTACTATACAATCAACTATCTAATTGATTGATAAAGCGTTGAAATTTATCACGTTGGTTTACACAAATACATTTATATTCAACTTTCAGTAAATTTCCCGTCTCATTATTGTTTTATAGTTATTTATTCTTGAATTTCATTATTCCTTGGCAGACTACATTTTTTTCAATATCAATGATCCTATGATTTCAACTCCTTTCTCTATTATCATACTAATTTGTTCGTCCATTCGATGTACTGATTGATATAAAGTGTAACAACTTAAACTAAAAATGCTGTTTATGACTCAGGATTGATTGAATTTTTTTTTTTAAAAAAGCCAGAATTATTTCGCTCTATTTTGACGAAAACAATAAAAAGAAAAGATGAATTATGCAATAATACACATATATAAAACTTACAGATTGACAAAATTTTTTTGAATTATCTGAAAATTTACAATTATATTCTTCGGTATCTTCACAGACACGACGATCCACTTCTTCACGTCGTACACGTTCTTTACGTCGACGAAATGGTGCTTGTCCCATAATCATTTCATAAACAATACAACCTAAGCCAAACCAATCCGGACTGAATGTATAACGTGTATTCATGACTACTTCAGGTGCTATATTAGTAATCAATAAACCAAAGTATATATTAATAATAATAATGATAATAATAATAATAATAGTAATAATAGTCAGCAGCAAATGACATAAGACAATGTTATTATGACAAAAAAAAACGATATAAATTCAATTTGTACATTTAACTGGAATAGCAGTTAACTAAATCAAATTGAGTAGCACATAAAACATTTAAAAAAAACTTGTTGAATTAGGGCAGCTACAAACACACACACGCACACATATACACAATGAACACACAACATCAATTAGACAACCGATTCAACAAACCACTGAGCAACAACTTTTTTCCAATATGAGTATAAACAATGCTCATTTACACAGTATTCAAATAAGTTTCGAATAACTAAGGCTTAACCATATAAAGAAGGATTCAATTCAAAATTCTATTTAGACAGTGAATGTTTGAGATAAAAGAAAGAATTGAAATTGTTAATACATTGGTCTCATCTGTTTACAAGTGATCTGAAGTGTGAGATTATCAACAAATTCACAGCAGTATTTTATTAACCCTAATGGCTTAGAAATGCTTAGAGAAACGGAAATTTTCTTTAATAACAAAACCTGACCACCAGCAGGTTTTGAATAGGAATTATCGATCCCACTTTGCGGAAACAATAAATCAAATCATCTGGAGGTAACATTGATGACCAGTGTTCTCGAGTTCTTCTAACTTAGAAAAAGTATTGTCATAACTACGGAACTGCTTAGCTCACAGAATCATCAATAACTACAGAGCATCAGAAAGTTGTTAGGATTTAGTTTGGAATTCTCCAACACCATCCACTCATGAACTAATTAGGGATCAAACCAAGAACCTTCAAATCTTGTGAAAAGTGCATTATCTATGATACTACGATCAGTGGAGTTTAACCATGTTCGAAGTAAGACAGATAACATTCAGTGGACTGTAATGGAGGATGTGCTATATTCGATAACAATGAAAATATAACATTCAAATAATACCTTAAAATGTGTTAGTTCTGTCGGTACATTTTAAGTAGATACCTTTCCAGTAATTATTAGAATCATGATACCAATTTATTAGTTTATCGCAATAAGATCGGATCATGAATTGTTTTTAAGCATAATTAATAAACCTGAAACTTCCCCTTAATAGCAATTTGCATTATAAGGTTGTGGAGAATGTCGAGTTAGTTACTTTGAAACCATGAATCGGTCAATATTAGACCATCATTAGAAACCTGGAAGCACTAAATGGCCATTTCTTCCTGGTATGGGACTACTCATCAGCAGTACGCACCTACGACTCCCGCAACTCAACTCCGCCTGCAGACCCTTCAGGGCTACTGCCGGTCCCAAGCCCGGATAAAGCAGGGTTGAGATGTGGGTTGGCGACCCCATCCCGGAAAACAATAACTTCCCAAAAAACGCTAACAAGAAATAATAATTCAAATCCCCCTGCAACTCAAAGGATTGGAGTTCAGGACCTTCGATCTTGCGTGTGATAGCAATACTTAAAATCTATGAATTATTCAGGCGATGTTATTTAACGATAAGGTGATGATAATATACAACTTAGCGTAAAAAAGACTATAGAATAGAATTTTAAATTTTATTTTTAAACTAAAATCTATGGAAGCAACAACGTTTGAAGTTCAAGTAAACTCTTGAATTTAAATTTAGATATCAGTCGGATGATTTCAATGGTAACTTTTAATCCAATGTAACAAAGAGATAATTTACAGCTACCAAACATTTGTATACACGAGTTTTATATTACAAACAAAATAATTCTCTAGTTTTTCCACCAGTTATTCAGTTTCTTTCAATGTACGACAAAAACTTTTATTCCAAACTAATCCAGTAACTCAGTGTTTCAGTGTTCTATAGGTAAAAAGAAATTTAGTGTAAATAGAAAAAAGAACACTGAAAACTTTATACCGTGCACACGTAATAAGCCAAGAGAGACTACTTTGTCCCCAAAGAACCGTTATTGTGTTGTTGCATAAGATGATTGCATAATACGATTTGCTAATGACCTCGAAAGGTATAAGACACTATAACAAATCTAAAGTAAATGTAGCCGAAGTTATTGTACCAAATATAGATTATGAACGCACAGTGGGATTTTCAGCGTTTGAAGGTAAGAATTTCAATTAACAAAAGATATTTCTATGGTAATCCTAATACAAAATAATAATAAACTAAGAAATGATGCATTTCTGGACATGGAGCCTACATTTTAAACAAACACAATATTTAACTTTTAATTTATGATTAATGATAACTGTTGTGTTGTTCTGGGGATCAATTCAACTTATTAGTAAAATAATCAACTTTTCTTGGTTTTATTTATTTAGTTCATCTTTCATTTACTATTAAAATTAGCATAATTAGTAGTGAATTACGTTTTATATATGACAAAAATGTAAAAGAATGAAATTCTGAAGTAAAAATCAAAAATCTAAATAATATAATCAGGTATTTTTAAGAAAAATACGTGATTACTAACGTGTTGTGATAACAAATTTTATAGATTCGAGATAACTACAATGGATACAGTTTAGATGTATAGTTTTTCAACACCATATATATATATAGACTGGTTAATGATAAGATTAGTGCATGTTACACTTACCCATATAACCAGCTGTTCCAACTCTTCCCTTAGCTGTACCTCCAGGTTCAATATATACAGCTAAACCAAGATCCGATATTCTAACATGTCCTATTCAAGAAAAAAGAAAATTGTGTTTCACTAAACTTCTTATTTGTTAAAAATGTCTAGTATTTTTAAAAATATTTTTTTCAAAATCATCATTTATGTTTAGTGACAGTCTCTCAAACTCAGTAAAAATATGAAAAATCAGATAATAATTTATTTTTGTTAAAAGAAATATCAAGCTATACATTTACCATTACTGTTATACAACATTAACTCCGTGTGGAGCCCCTCTGGGGTTACTACCGCTTCCAAGCCCGGATAAAGGAGGAGGGTTGGGTATGGGGTTGACTATCCCATCCTGTAAAAAACTAACTCGCTAAAATCACGTTAACCAGAAAACATAATTCAAGTAAGTATATAACATAAGTGTGACAGAATACGTTCTTCATTGTTTGTTTTCTTCAGGTTATTTAAAAGTTAAACAAATAAATGACCAGAAAACAGAGAAAAAAAAGCGTCCGTTCAGTTGCATTAATTTTATGTCTAAGTTTTTACTGACATATGTGTAATGAGGTAACTGACGAAGTTTCAATACGAGGTTGTTGAAATTACATATTTACGGAATTCTTAATGAATATATAGTTGTAAAAATGTGATCTGTTTACGTTTAGCAATAATTCAGATGCCCCACTGTACCAATAAAGTTAATGCTTCTTATAGATGTGATCATATTAGTTAATATTCTCGATCCTATGAGCTTATTTCAATGTAGCTAAGCCAATGTCGAATAAAAATTAAATAGTTTGACTTAGTTTAATCTGGTACTTTATTCCGATTTTGATGAATAACATCTGTACTGAAACCTGTGATAGGTATTCGACATGATTTGCGATATATTTTGCAAACTACAATATAAGTAGTATATCTTTAAACGTCAAAAAGTTTTCCACTTGTTGTTTACATTTCAATAATAAGATTTAACTTTTTATAACAGCTAGATTTATAGTTTATTAAGCGACAGAACTAATCATAGTAATAACAATTGGATTTGTAAAATGACAGAGATTTTTAGCGCAGATGAATGTTTTCGGATGTGTTATGTTGACTGAGCTAAACAGTTCGATTGTGAAGCTTTAACTGTCGTTGAGAATATAGTTATCAGAGCCTAATTCATATATAATGTGTTAACAACGACAATGAAAGTGCTCAGCGGTTGAACCGTTAAGCTCAGAGAATACAACGCAATCAAAAACTCGACTTTTTTTTCATTTCATGATTTGTATTTTCTAGACAATTTCGTACAGTTTGAAAAAAAAAACTAAGTTTGTTGTTTACGTCTAAATACAAAAACTCAATAATATTGAAATAAACCCTTTACACTAGTCAAAAACATATTCTGTCAATAGCAGATAAAGGTATTCTGATGTATGTAGTAACTAATTACACATACACAAGTGGAGAGTGTGAGAAAGGAATAATTGAATAGAACATTCTTTTCCATTTAACTATATGGCTCTTATAATAATAATAATAATAATAATAATAATACTAATAAACATCTGTGCCAATTACATATTCCATAAGCTATATTGAGAATAGGGAAAACAAGTTAATTAATACGATTTCTGATTCGAATGAAGAATTGTTATATTCATTATTACTAATTGTTTAAGTAATTTATACAAGATCACCGTAATTGGTTTTGTCTGATGACCTACTCTACAAACTAAGCTGCAGCAGTAAATCATCTAACAAGGGGACAGGATAATCACTGAATAACTCACAGTTCTTAACCATGGTCCTTCAATATAATGAAGTACCGAGACGAAGTTTATGATGACATAATCACTGCATATATATACATACCGTTCGGCAAGTTTTATTAAAAAAGATATAAACTAAAACAATAACACTAAACAATTTAAAATTTGCTTATGCATAATTATATTATCAAATTGATATTCACAATGTCTAAATGATTTCAAATAGTGATCTATTAAAACAAAGATGATTTATACAAACAAACTGAATTGAATTAATATTCAATGAAAATAGTTGAGAAAAAAAAGAATCAAACATAAATAATCACCAACCAACCTTGATCATCAATCAGTATATTTTCTGGTTTTAAATCACGATAAACAATATTTTTTGTATGCATATGTTGTAAGCCTAAAGTTATTTCTGCTGCATAAAATCTTGCTCTATTCTCATTGAAACCACTGCCATTATTCATATTATGTATATGAAATTTTAAATCACCACCATTCATAATGGTAAGTACTAGACATAAAGCATCTTTAGTTTCAAATGTATACGCTAGATTGACCTGAATAGATGAACAAGAATAATAATGAAAAAATATTATTGTCAGTATGAGATTATGAAATGAATATATATATATGAAAAAGAGTATGATTATTTTAACTGAAAATAAATTGCTTTCTATAGAGTAATAGTAATGATAATACACTAATCAATATCATGCTGTTTAGGTTATCATCAGTTTTTATGTGAATTTTTTTATCATTTCGATAGACAGTTTACTATGTACATTATTCGAATATTTAGCTTTGAGTCACAGTTCGCGTGTAAGAGCTAAACAAAATACCTAACTGCCTAAAGACGAGGTAGGTAGGTGATGCAAGATCAAAAGAATCTATGATCCAAAGACTGAAAGTTAAGTGTTGTAATGATGAAGTCATTGTTGTTGTGGCTTTGTATGTCGTGAATAAACAGGATGATTGCTGAAACAAGTTTTACTAAGGACACGGCTTAAGTCCAAGACATTACGTTATCTTAATTCATTAAGTATGTACTAAATATACTATTAGCAACAAAATTGTAAGATTTCATTTAATACTTAAGTCAAAAATGCCTTCTAATTCCGTAAAATTCTTGAATATATGTTAATCCCCCACCTCCAAATAAGTATATGTATTAGGTTTTACGTGATTTCAGTTTATCTGTGATTTTTATTAATTGGCATACTTGTCTATAGTGATAATTAGAAAATATAGAAGTAAATAGAAAATTCCATGAACTACTCCTTTTTCAAAAAAATGATGATGGTGGTTAGTAAGTATCCAAACTCAATCAATCCAAATACCAGTACCACCTAGTGGATGTGGAGTAGCTGACGAAATGTACTGATGAAACAAAAGACAGAATTATTAAGCTATGCTTTTTCATTCAATTACATATTTCTTATTTATTTTGCAAACTTTTCACTTGGGTTACTTTTGTTTTTGGTTTTATTGTGATAAAAGACGGTTACCTTGTGTTATGATTTTACACTTTATGTATTATCGTATCTGCTTATCTGTTGACTATTACACCTTAATGGTTGAGATACAAACAAGCGTTTCGATTGCTGAGATTATGATTAATATAATAATTAAAGGTGGAATTGAAAATGAACACATAATATAAATAACCAAATTTTCCATATATGTAATTTTTCTAATGTTCATAATCTATGCATAACATTAAGGAGTTACCTACACTGTTGTTGAACTATGGTCAACTTAAACTAAAGCATAATTGCTATAAGTTTAAGGTTTATCAAACTTGTATAAATAATGATCTGTACTATACATTTTATTTCATATTGTGTCAGAATAGAATACTGATAAAGTCGTCTACTAAATAGTTTGTTATCCTTTTTTTAAATAATAAATATTACATTAATTTATAATACAAAAGTGATAGTAATTAACGAGGATGTAAGCTTGATTTCAACGAATTTTGGAAGTTAATTTATAAGGACTGCTCTCGCTAGCCAATACATGTTTACAACCATTTGTGATACTCGTATAAATAAGAATTTATTCAGTGTTTTCAAACACTATGTGAATCACTTTGTGAAATAGTTTGCCTCATTTGATGACTCATACTAAGCTGTGTTACATAGCTTGTGAATACAAAATACTTAAGAAAATATAGAGATTTGTAAAATAATCCTAATCACTCAAATGTTTTAAAACACTAAATATAAATAGTGGGTATAAGGTCTTTTTCAAAAATATAAACTAGATTCTTATCATAGGACTCATTGAGTCTTCAAATGGATCTTCTATCGCTCTCAGTGAGGGTAAATGTGATGTTTGTCTCTAAAAAGAGCTATAGATTTGGCATTATTACATAAAGCCTAAATTAATAAGCTTTGAGAAAAACGTGAAAAAAGGACTTGAGAGTAACACGTTGAATGCCGTCTAGAATGTCGATGAAAAAAAGAAAACAAAGCAGCGGCGGGGAACTTTAGTGCCTTATGTCTAACTCCATAATAATCGAACGATATTGATGTTAGTGAAATCTATATCCTATTTACTAATCTTGTTAGTAACAATGTAGATATAGGAATTTGAATACGAAAGTATTCAAGAAACGAATAGTTCAGGCATTCGATAATGTAAGCAAACAATAAAAGACGTAAAAAAATACGTGTGAACTGGAGTTTCAGAAATAACCGAGTGGAAGAATGACGAATACTTATAATGGAATCGTATATCTTGATATTTCAAAACTTCATGCACTAGATGGCAAAAATCATGGAACTCAGTGACTTGTGATGTTATCTGTGTGGTGGCTTAGAAGTTAAGGGATTCAGCTGCAAGCGGCTTTTTTCATGATCACATTCTGCCTCAACCAGATTTGATCGGAAAGCCCAGCAGTATAACTAGCCCTTACACGAACTGGTATAGTATAATGAGTATGAAGGTCTATTTAGTAAGGTCAAAAGAGATGCTAGCGCAGATCATATTGCAGTCTAGTGTAGAAACACAAAGTCATGATTGAAAAACAAAAGACTTTTTTTGGTCTTGAAGAAAAACGAGTAAAAATTAACTAATTGCTTAATGAGAGCAATGTTTGATGAATAGAATGGTAATATGATAAATCTTTAACCAGATTAGGTAAAAAAAAACATACAATCAGTTAAAAGTTAACAAACCACAAAGCGAGAATTGACTCGTTGCAATGTTTCTTTCTCCATCATCGCCATATTTTCAGCAGAACGTTTTTTCATGCGCTTTTTTTCCATTTTCTTGCAGGCATATAACTTCCCAGTTGCTCGAACTTGACAAGCACACACTTCTCCGAATCCCCCTTTGCCTAGGACTCGGTACATTCGAAAAGTATGTTTGGTAACTGGCGTTCTGAAAACGTGAAACAAGCTGGTAATTAAATGTGAATCCAATATATGTTCATGCAAGATTTTAAGACGTATAAGCAAGGGAATCTTAGAGCAGTCGCCTACGGGTTCTTCAGTCAAGAACCACTTAAATTTGGTCATTTTTAATTTGCGGTAGCTGGACTTCTTTATTTAAAGAGATTCTATAAAACATATCGGTATCGATTACCAGCCGTTTTTTAATAACACTAAAAATTTACTAACCGGGTTTTCCGAAGATGTCTTTTGACAAAACTATAACTATTCATTTTTATAAGGAGGTTACAGAATATTGGTTAAAAACTTTTTCCAAAATATCTAGATAAGCAACATTTTACCGAAAGGATCTACAATAATCGGTAACCAGACTATGTAATTGTGTTAAGAAAAATGTAGCTTTCTGAGTAATGAAAGTTGCAGGAAATGAAAGGTGTTTAAACCTGTAAAACAAGTCAGAAATAATTTGTAATTGTAATTAAACTTAACAGTGGGAGCAGTATTGACCTGAACCTAGATAAAAATCATGTAAGATCTATGACATATATGTGTTCATTTATGCATCGATTGATGAACAAATAAAACTAATAGCAATGAAGGTAATAGGTTGAAAATTACAACACCAGTAACGGTGAAACACCAAAATAGAGTGAAATGTCGGATGTATTTGAAGTGAGGGGATTACAGATCTTGCAATGTTTAATTAATATAAAAGCCACTATTCAGAAACGCTGTTTTGATACACTGTATTTAATGCTGTGAATGTATATTACCTAATACAATGTGCTCTTCAAAATAAACAAAATTACAACCCGTATAGGACTGAAAAATCGCATACTATTTCCACAGAAAATTCTGAAAAACAAGACCTGCTATATTTTACCAAAACTTAAAGAAAATACAAGAAAGCAGCTAAGATACAAAACTGTAATGAGATGAACCTACTTTTCTAACCATTTCCATTGAAGATAACGACTAAAGTAAACGGAATTTAGAAATTCAGAAAATGGCGAATCCCTTAAGAAATCTTCAAGGACCTTCAGAATTGCACGAAAGAGTTCTTTGTCAGGATATGCATCATTTGACTCTTCTAGAGCATTTAAAACTGAATTTTCATCAATTTTTCCAAGTTGATGAAACTTTTTGCCACTCTAAAAGTGGAATAAGACAATGAATATGTTACCTTGTCTGAAAGAAACTTATGGTAAATTTCCAGACCTAATTTCCGACGTTCATTGGGAATACACACCGCATATTTGTTCTACACAAGAACAATACAGAATAAGAACCTAAAACTTACAACAGAATCTACAAAATCGACGACATCCGAGATGAAATTGTTGCTCCTACAGAACAACCGAAACAATCTTTTTCCAACTGGCTGCTGCTCCACAATAAAATCATAACTCAAGTCTATGCACATGAAGTTTAGTAAATTTATCTAGCAAATACCTAAATTTTTCTTTAAGTATGAACATTGAGATATGTGAGGAAAAGCCAATAATGTCCTCCATTTTCGGCTTCGACCTTTATCCCCATCAGCTCCACCTGTCGTAAAGCATTAAATTATATGTCTTACTTCTTTTAGCCTTGATATATACTGTATTCGCAACAATATTTTCCAACTCCATACTTCATTATCAAGAAGTTAAGTAGCGCATTGCTTAAGAATGCATCACTCACATGGTGTCCAATAGGTCAGTTTATATTAAGGTACAGCATGCATATTGAGAGTTGCTCAGTAATGATGTCGTTTTGAATATTTCTAACAGCATTTCAGATTCTATGACATTTTCCACCCAGACAGTAGATTTACTTCTGCCTAAATCAACCTATGATATAAACGTCTACAATATCCAATATCTTTTTCAAGATCTAGTATAAATAAGTTGATTTCTTTGCAGTCTTTTCTTGTTCTTTCGACACGATTCCAGGTATTTGTTAGTAACCAACGGATGGTGGTCTAACCTCTCAAATGAACTAATTCTAGTTGTTTGGCAATGGTTTGTGAAGTTGTCTGTCGTGTGATTTGAATGAGTACGTTTTTTCAGAGCAGTAGGGTTTCTATCGTTCTCGTTACCAGGCCGGAAATCAGTTAGGTTTGGAGAACAACAAGGGGGTTATTCTGATGATAATCAGATTCCAGAACTAAGTAAATGAAATGACAAATAAGATCATTGATTGGTAGTGAAGATTGTGCGGGAGGATCAAAGTGTAAGCAAGGGAGAGGAAACAGAGATAATAACCGAGACAGATTAGGTTGGTGATTATATAAAAAAAATTGTGACGACTCTTAAGGAGGAGAAGAGTGCACGAACCTAGGTGATATTTCTCCTATGTGCAATTTTAGGAGGGTTACGGCGAGGGGCATAGTGATGATGCTTCGGTAAGATGCTTTCGTTGGGATGATTCGGTGTACTTAATATGTAGTAGGCTATTATTAGATCATGCCTGCTTCTCCTGTAACTCAAAGTGAATAATATCAAATGCTGAAGTCTTTCTTCGTAAGGTTTCAACCCTATCGAGCATTTTGTTGCTTGTCTCTGCTTTCGATCCAGAAGATTTATGTATCTTATGATGAGCAATGACGTTTTAAACCTCAAGGTGTGGGCGTTCGTATGTCTTAAACAACTTTAAGAATAATTCAGGAGTGATAGCATCACATTTTTTCACAAAAATTGAGGAGCTGCGTTAGCCGTGGCTGCATCTCCTATGTAGTTTGAAGTGATATTCTGGCTCTCTATGGTTATTAAACCGAGGTCGATCTCTGAGGCGTTGTGTAAGAGAGGACTTCCATTGAGGGCGTAAGTTACTGGAGCCGCTCTGAGCAGAATATTCATTATGTAGCACAACGACTGGTTAAATTTCAAGTTGTTGTCCGATGCCCTTTCATTCATTGTTGGAAAGCCATTCTGAAGTTTGGCTAGCATGCATTTTTTAGACCTTGGTACGAAACTTTCCCTCCTCTGATGTAGTTTCAGAGCCAAGGAATAAATCGATCAGTAAAGTCTACTATCGAAACTTTCTTTATTAGTAGTATGTCGGATACTGTATTGAAGGCTTTAGTGAAGTCAAGTAGTGAACTGCTGCTTTTTGGTTTCAGCAGGAATTCCAACTGTTTCATGCTATGAGATTTCATACACACGACTTGTCTTTCCTAAACCCGCGTCGGGCTTCAGAGAGGGTGTGGTTCTTAATGGCTGAAATAAGTGTGTGAACAGTCTATGTAATGATCAACTGAGGGCTTCCGCAACACTGTTTCATGTTTGTAGGTTGAATATTTTCATATTTCGTTGACTTTCCCGGGCACAGAGATTTAATTTTTCATAGTACCAAGCCAGCATTAAATCGGATATACCTATAACCATCATCTGAACTTAGGAAATCCTTAAACCATCATATTAGTTTGCTGTTGGGTGTCGATTGATATTTTGGCGCCAACTCTTATTGACCACGGTTTTTCGCACGTAACCCAGTTCAATCGACGGTTCCTAAGAGTTAACAGTACTTCTCCGCCAAACTGTGCGGAAGCGGAGGTTTTCCTTTAGCTACCTTCTATCTAGCTACTCTCCAGTGCAGAAACATTCAATAAAATTGGTAAGTTTTTTATGACTCCCCTGTTCCTGACTTGTAGCGTTTTGAGAGCTGTGGTGTCACCGTTTTTATTCTGACGCTCAACCGTTGCTCCGTACTTTCAGAAGATACTGAGATGCTTAAAACAATCGGTGGTGTATACTTTGGTGTTGTGATGGCTTTTGTCACCTTCGTTAGTCGAATTCAGTGTACCAGTGAGGATCGGTAGATATATTGCTGCTGAAGCCTTCTGTTCCGCTGCTGCTAATTTTTTTCGACTAATGAGTCTACACCGTGATAATACATGCCAGAAGCATGAACAGGAGTAACTTAGCATGAATGCATAGTACTGTCTCGGCACTACAGCATCACAGAGACAGCAAACGCGTCCACTGCAAAAGTCACATTCTAATATAGGGTCATTAGTTTAAGCTGTCATCGTGTAAGCGATACAATTATCGATGTTTTGTTGTTTCTGAACAGCAGGTTGCATCAATTTTGCATTAGATGCCACTTTCTTCAATTTCTTTTCTGCTCACCAGTCTTCTTAATAGTAGGAAAATAAGCGTTATTGTCTTCCTGGTTTTTTGTTGGAAACTCCGTTTAGATGTTTCTGTCGAGTGATCCGAGTTTTACACAATACACTGACGTTTACTATCCAATTTTATTTTCAATTTTTCAGCAATTCAGCTGCTAGAAACTGGGGTTTTCGACTGATTTCTAGATTTACTAGTTGTTAGTGTGTAAGAACTGGTAGCAACTCTATAAATGTGCTTTTACTCTGTTTACCAAAAATCAAAAAATGAAATAATTTGGCGGAGAAAATACGTAAGATATAAATTTTGAGGGAGTAAAGTAAGTGCAATAAATTAGGTGAATATATACTACTCAATAATAGAACTTTGAGAGTCACTCGAAATTGGAATGTCGACTGTCTTGGCAAGCCACTTCGCGTGGATCCAGTAAATTTTCCACAGGTCTGTTTTTGCAAGTGAATGAATGTGTGTGCCGCTGTTGAAGAAAATGATAACAGAGGAGTCAATCGAGAGAGCTAGATCTACCGCACATCGGTCCACCAGAGTATAATTACTTTTATCTGATTTACTGGTTAAGCTGTCTAACAATGAAGAAAGACGAAGCTTATATACTGAAGAATGTTCAAAAGTACGAATCTAGGAGCGAAAACTGGATTACTTCCCGTTGATAATGAGATATTAAAAAATTGTGTCAGATTTTTCGATTTCAAGTATATCCACTGACTTAAGACTATTATTATTTATAGACCAAAGTATGTCCCTGCACACTTATCGGTCCCAGTTTGATTTTGAGTATCATTAAGCCATCATTCTGCAACACTATAAAAATAAGTGGGACTTGTCACAAGTGCTTTATATATCACTTGCATGTGTATAATAGTATCAATGCTTACGTGTAGCTCGAAAACTGTTAGTCTTTATTTCTAGCAATAACCCACACACAATACTCCAGAATTCTGCCTTTGGTCTAGCACTGTGAAGCAAGAACATAAATTATGTTTCTTCAATGTAACCTTGGCTAATATACATACAAGAGTAGACAGTTGATTGAGCTCGGTGTTTACATTCCCAATAGGGCAGCGAAACCCATTTGTAATGGAAGCAGGGTGTTTATTTCAGATTTTAATATATGGTTTCAGTATTTTCAAGCAACCTCAGTAAGTGATGGGACAAATACTCTTATAAACAAAGGTAACCAAAAAGCAAAATTCACTTTCAGAAAACAAGATTTGCCTTCATAAAAATAAGATTTAACGTACCTCTGTTAGATAAACCCAGTACCAAAGTACTTTTCTTCGGTTGCTTCCCTGCAGAATCTCGTCAGAAGTTGCAAAAGTCTTTTTGTAGCATTTGCTCTAACTGATGACTCTCTTCTGCATTATTTCGTAACCGATTAGAATATCGAAAACCTAGCTGCTCATTGTGATTATAGAGTTCTTTTGAACTCTAATACTGGTCAGTGTTCGATTACCAGAGAATAAATTACTGTTATTAGGTGGTATTTACAGTACAATTACTTCTAATTGTCTCACATTACCTTAACGATAGTCCTACAACTAACAGTCATTATGAAATATTATTTCTAGAAAAGCAGCTAATATAAGATGGTGACAAGCAAAAGATAGTGAACGTCAGGCATTCGCAGGTTCGAAATAAACACTAAGGCTATTACGAGTTCACCATACTCGGTAGACGGAACGAAGATCAAGACACGATAGGCTACTCTAATCCGTTTTTCCCAGGCCCCACTAACTAGAGGAGGAACTATTGACAAGATGTAGAGAAATGTATTACACAGGCACCCGGAAAGTACGAGGTCAATAAGCACACAACTCAAGCTTATTTATGCGATGATAAAACGCCCTTGATGAGAGCCACAAAACAGGGTACTAAATTAATCCACCAATCAATGACAGTCAGGGATTTTCCAAGTAGAAAATGCAAGCAGTAAGTCGAAATGAGCGTCTTTGATGCGAAAGCGTAAAACTCAAAACTTCCAAGGTAACCTTTTCCAAGTGCGTTCTGGGGATCTAACGTTCCCAACACTCACATTAATCCCATTGGATACTAGCCAAAGTTATCCTTCAAAATCATTCCCTGATTCTAAACTCATAAAAACACACCCATGTAGGTCATAGCGTTGTGTGCCGATTTGGGCGTGTTCTTAAGTTTCGTAATAAGCTCGCTCAGACTATAGTTACTGAATGACGTCTGACGGTCAATAAATCAGAAGATGAATTCAAAGTATCGTATTCGTTTATTGTGGCACACCACAAATAAGGATAGCATACCACAGACAGACCGGGCAGACACACTAGCGAGCGAATATGCAAATGGTTGAATGAATTAATAAGATTAAAATGTTCGTATATATACAAAGGAAAATGTCTGAGTCATCGTAGTATTTAGGAGATTAATATTAAAGTGAATAGGATGCATATGTGCGTAGGCGTTAAACAATGCTCAGTCGTACAAGCTCATACAAACCAGATAATAAAAAATACCAATGGTACATATAAGTT